GGTCGAATTTGATAGCTTACGTTTGATAAAGATTCATATTAAACATTACAATAAATGTTTTATTGAAATAATGTCAACAGTCCATTCCAATGGATGATTAGTGGAAAAATGACCATTAGATGCGTGAAAAACGCTTGCTACAGATGTTTATGGAGGGGTAGATGAAACAAAAATATGATTATCTTTAAATATACTAAGAAAAAGTCTCATATTGTTTGAAGTAGTTTTATTATCAGTAAGAAAACGTATATAAAAGCACATTTTTGTCTAAATGTGCAGACAGAAACTTCGAATGATCCAAACAAATATAGCTAGTGATCCAAATCAAGTAGATTTTCGATTAGCACTTTGTATACAGTGCTTAAATAAAGTCGTTTTTATGCGGACAGAGGTAGGATAATTGCAGGTAATGAGACAGTCATTGTTAAATATTGTTTTACGTATGAAACCTGAACATTTTGTGCACATTTTTATGACTGGTTAGCGATATAAGAAATGTTTTGAGTTAAACGGTGACTATGTTGAAAAAAGTTACATGTATTCGAATTAAGCTTTTGACGTCAGAAAACGTCAACGATTTTCATTTTAGTGCTCCGGGTATGAGTGTGTGTCTTTTTTGTATCTGATAAAAATATAAGTATTTGTGAATTGTTTTTGTTGAAAACTTGCATGTCAATGAAATGAAACATGAATTTAGTGAAAATAATAGTTTCATATATTTTATCAATGTTTGTCAGTAATTACTAATGTTGTCCACGAACTTTACGGACAACCCTCGTAGTATTTGTATTTTTATGAATTACTTGTAAATAGTTTCTATAGGACATAGACATACATGTAATTACTGTTTTTTATACAGAGCTATTGTGAAGGTACATAATTATATATTTTGTCACATTTTGTCGCTCTCTACAAAATTATACATATAGCCATTTAAAACAACTCTACTCACTTCGTTGTTAGAGTTACAGTTATTTGACATTGATGCTGAACTAGCAGATAAATAGTTAATGTTGAGAAGTCTACCACCTTTGATGTGGAAGTCGAAAATTATACAAGTAGACGTCAAATGTTTCTGTAATCTCTTAGTTTCTATTTCTGTGGAGCAGCTTCCATAACATCTGTATCAATTATACTACTGTACAAGAAACATTGATGAGGAGAATAGTGTAAAAGAAATTTGCATAAAGAAAAATTAATCTCTTTCTCTCTCTCTCTCTCTCTCTCTCTCTCTCTCTCTCTCTCTCTCTCTCTCTCTCTCTCTCTCTCTCTCTCTTACATTTTTCTTGAAAACATATTAAACATTTTGTTTAACATAACTTTTTTGAAAAGTCTCTTCATTACTTTGACATTTTTAATTATACCAAAGATTGACCATGGGTGCATTTAAATATTTTCGTGTAACATTTTTATATAATATTAATATATATTCATTGATGACGAGCATGTGCACATTGGTTAGTAAGTATAAACAGTGTGTGTCTGGCTAGGGACGGAAGGGATGGGGTGTCGATGTTAACTTCATGTGCAGATCATTGAAGTTCTATGCACGTGCAGAAACCGTTCATTTTATTATTTGAGAGAGAGAGAGAGAGGTTATTTTTGCTGCATTATCTGCAATGCACCTGATGTATAAAACAGTTGAAGTTATAAATGTTTATTAATCCGTCCCCCGCTATATTTACACTTACCAGTAGAAATAAATAGATTTTTTTCTAAATTAAATGCCTGTGTCTTTCAAAAGGTAAAAGTAAACTGATCAACAAATTAAATTAACCCCACTCCTTCTTACACACGCCCCTTATTTCTGATGATTAATCAAAGAGCTTGTTTTAAACATCTACTGTAAATATATTCGGCATCAATTTTCATAAACAAGTTCCGCGTTTCGACAAAGTCACTATGGACTTAAGAATTACCATTTTTTTTTTCTTTCTGTTTCTTTTCTACGACGACTTATTATTCTCAATCTGTCTGACCCTTGTAATTTGCATTTTGTCTTCTTACATTTCTCTAAATGTCGATGCAAAATGTAGCAACGCAAAATGAAATAATACAAAAATTATGTTTTTATATTTTGTTTTACTTTATTCTGCGTTGATCTGAATGCAAAAGTAAACAATGCGGAATGCAATACATAACCCCGATTTCATACATTTTGTGTTAATGTTATCTCATTTCGCGTTATAACAGGACGCGTGGTAGGCGTAATTTGTGGACAGGAGATGTTTATTACTTCATGGACTCTGGTCCAACTACTACATGTATTTCTTTCAGAGTTCCTTTTTTGTTTTGTTCCTTGCTCCGGGCCATAAAACGTAAACGGCCCCATTTTGATATCAGTCACACCTTTACAAAGAGAAAATATAAATTATAGAAAGAAAAGTAAAAGGATGTATTCGCTTTAACAAAAGAATTGACCTATAGGAGAGAGCAATTTCCCGGAAAAAAACGACATTTAAAAATCAATCTTTATTTGTTGTTTTCTACCGTATATATGTCTAAATTTGTCAAATTTGTATTTGATACCTCAAATTTATTATTTACAACTTTACAATAAACCTCCAAAGTTGACCGAAACACCATTTTGTCCATAAAAGCATTGATTTTTGCATGAATTTGGCCTTGAAGTCCTTCAGGGCAGGCCTGCCCCTAAATAAAATTGTGATATTTTGATAGGTTAGGATGTAAGGAATAAATTAAGATTAGATTTTTGTAGGGGCACCCCTGCCCTGGGGTCGAAATTCACAAAAAATCTACAAAAAATAAGGAAACCTGTTTTACATCACCTGCTTGAAATTTATGCCATTCATTATAATAGTCAGACTAGCTCATTTGATATAAGTGCTGACTTTTGCACCGTGGATACTTTCTTTTTAAAGTCGGGGGTTCGAATCCACCTGGTACAACACTTTTAAACTTTTAAATTTCGCCTTTTCAAAGACTGTTTAGATTTTTTACATAGATTTGTGTATTTTTCCTTCAAATATCTATCCTTTATGCATGCCCATTCCTGATATATATAAGAAACACTAAAGAGATATCAAATCGTAACAATCCAAAGTACAGTTCTCGGTCAGGCGGAACGAACCTCCGTATAAGCACACTTTCTTCGAGGACAAGAATAACTCACTATGTGTTACTCAATACAGGTATTTTTGGCAGCATTGGGCTGCGATGAATTTCATTTGTATATATTCCTTATAATTAAATCACATTGATTTTGGCTACATATTTCAGTAAAAGCACTCCCTTGGATTTCATTTAGGCTTATATAATTTTTACACTACAGTGTATAATGACATGTTTCATTATATCATTATATGAGAAGTAAAGACAAATATCAGTTAGTGCATATGGGGATAACAAACTCAAAAAATCAATGAAAGGGTTCCTCTTACCTCTATTAACTGAAATAAAAATTCAGGAAAAACAAATTATCATATGTATTTAGCCTAATGTCATTAATCGGAACGGAAATCGACAAGCTTTTTCTAGAGAAAAAACCAAGCCCGGTCCTATAGGTCAGATCCCTATTTATAATGAAGTGATCCTTTAAGGTCAAAAGTGACTTTCTAAGTTTTAATGCTCAGGAACCAGATGTAAAATGTGTCATCGTAAATTAAGCTTCATTAATGTCTGAATAAGTCATATTTCATTATTTCTAACAATCCATATTGCAATAATTAACAAAACAATTGATAACTCACCACAATGTAAAAGGTGAAGTGAAACATCAAAAACTTGTATTATCCCCAATTCTATAGGTATGATCAGGTAGCTAGGAGGAGTATGCATATAAATCCAGGTAGAAATGAAGTTCTCTACGACGTCGATGTTTAGATTCTCAAAAATAATGCAACTGAACTGTACATAGAATAATTATACTGTATCTGATACACATATTCAGACATAATTTACTGTATAATCATTGTTAACCTAATCCTTATCTAGCTCAACAATGAATACAATTGACGAAGAATATTTAAAACTGAAAACATGTGCATGCAGTACATGCTTTTAGGCCACGTTACGTGTATATAGTACTATAAATGCGTAAATTTATATAAGCCTACCTATTAATGTTTTTTTAATATAAAACTCAATGGATAATATTCTAGTTTGCTTAAAAGAATCGTTATATTACCTTTCAGATAACGATTTTACAGGCATAGTTGACATTGATATTTGAGATATAATGTAAGCAAGTTCTTAAACAATAGGCGCTCCCATGTAATTCTGTAAAAGACAAAAAGTAAATGTATAGGCATAAAGGTTTACCCCTCTATAATATGACGAAATAGACCTATGGGCGCGCTTGATTTGTCTACACCTTACTACACCCAGTGTAGACTATTTACACCCAATAATCAAGTGAACTTGGGTGTAGTGTGGCTAATTCAACATGGACGTCAAAATTTCAACAACTGAGGGGGGGGGGGCTATTTGCAGACGATTTTTTAAATAAAATAATTGTTGCGATTTTGAATATTCTTTTAAAATTCCTTTAAAAACAAAACATTTTACAAAATGCAAAGAATTTTTATTAAACATTTTCCTAGCTGTCCCTAATTACCATCTAGCTATAATCAAATATATCTAGAGACTTTAAAACACAATCTTGCAAAATTTGCTTATTTTTTTATTTTACAAATTATGAAGTATTTTATTTTCCATAAAATGCAAAAAAAAAACATGGTCCACTAGATTACTAAAAACAATTCATCACAATTAACCTATGAAATACTTGACAGTAAACTCAAATACAGAAAAAGAAATTCTGCAGTTTTACCGTTTCCTCATTTGTCAGCCATATTGAATTTTCGGTGTAATTACCTACACATGCCCTGCACAGGGTGTAGAAGGTGTACACCTAAAGTGTACACTTTTGCACTTGATTATGAAAAAGTGTACACCGGGTGTAAGGTGTAGACAAATCAAGCGCGCCCTATGCATACTTAGCTTTTGCCATTTACAGTTTGAATTACACGGGGAACGCCTGTTTTAAGTCACGTGATTTAAATTCCAGAGATTGTATAAACAAGGAAGGTAGATACCAGGTAAAACCAGTGACGGCAGACATTACAGCAGGTAAACAATAATTATTAACTAAGGGAGCTCTGTTTCTGGGTGTCAAAAGGCTAAAACTGCACAAAAAACCGCTAAAATGGATATAGGCTGTGTTTATTAATCTGTAGTCCAAAAATTTTGAAATTCTATTTTCGCTTTAATTTCAAACGAGCCACTTGTCAACATATCCTAGAGCTTTATGCTCTACAATATATGTTAAAGTATTTATCATTAATACAAATACTGGCTATTAAGACAATCAAGTTATGGTCATGGCTGATAATATTGAAATAATGTTATATCATGTCATGAGTGCAACAGAAACATGTAGTGGTGTCACAAGATCAAACAACAATAGTAAAGAAATCTTTTTTATAAAAAAAAAATGCAAAAAAAAAGAAATTTTGGAAATGTAAAAAACATTAACGAGAGAAAGAGTTTATGTGCATGGCTCTTCATGATTTCAGACCTCTGATGTGCATACCTAATAATGCCAAGAGTGCGACATTTGATGTTACATGTATGCTCTCAGGCATAATAAAGCTATAATCATTTATTGGTGTTTTCGATTTTTTTATTTGAAAAATAAAAACACAAAGAACCCTTTTACAAAATAGATTTATCAATTACAGGGTCAGTTTGTGCTTTAGATCTACATTTCTAAGGCTAGGAGTGCAACACATTCAAGTTATATGACAAAAACACGTCGTATATTCATATTTATAAATGTTTATTAATATTTTTTGAAAAATAAATTATAATATACTGAAAGTTTTATTTGGGAAATCTGTCCTTTATAAATTTTATCACCTCAGATGTGTTTTGCCATTTTGTGATTTTATCATGAATTTTATAAATAATCACAATAAAATTGTCATAGAATTCAAGTAATTTCTTTTCAATTCATTGAAACAACAAAACAATCGCTTATGTACTGTTCACTTTATAATTCTACTTCAAATGTTCTTATGCTTTTGGTAAAAAAAGATTTTAACTCTAAAATAAAAAAAATAATAATTATAAAATAATGAGAAGTCATTTACGTTAAAGTCGTTACTTAATCTGTCATTTAAGGGAAAATAAACTACCAGATACATTTTATATTATTAATGTGTATTTAAGCTAGTTTTGGGGCATAATAGGGAATAATTCTTTATAAAATGCAAATTCAGAATAATCCCTTTTTTTTAATTATGAAGTATTGGACAATAACTATTTCACAAATTCATTACCTTTTGATGTTGCCAACAATGCTTGATCTTCTGGTGTATAGTTTTGAATTTGACTGCAGTCAGGAATACAGCAAAAATGCTGTATATATAATAACTTAGATGAAAGACTTATTTCACCCATGTATCGGTTCTTATACACTTGTAAAAGTATATGAAAAAAAATTGGTGAATAATCAAGCGTTATATAGAGACAATGGATTTGCCATGTTTAAAACAAAATTCATTTGTAGTGTTTTGAAATCCTATGAATTTTGCCAAATATTCGACAAATTGCATTATAGTGCTTTTTTCGGAGTCTTTTTTCAGACTTAATTTCTTACTTCTGTTCACTCTATTTTTGCGTCCGTCTGTTAATTGTTAACATTAGTCGGCACATGGGGAAATACAGAAGACTTTTTTCATGAACTTGATCGTTACTTATTACATATGTCAAATTTATGAATATTGTGATTTTTCAAATCCTCACAATGTAATTATCAATATTCTGTTTTTAAATTAAATAAATATATATTTTAACATATTTCCTTCATCCTTTGCCAAACTTCAAGTGTAATATACTGTGCATATTGGAAATAACATATGTGTCTCCACTCTTAGAATCATTCACTTTGTCTTAATTCCAGCTAAAGAATTTAGCCACCTTATCATCTTGAAAGTATTGATTTATTTTTTGTAATCGTTCTGTCTAACTTTTTCTTAAATAAATATAGGTAAGATTAATATGTGAATGTCATTATGCGAATGTCATAATGCAAATGCCATCATTTGAATGCCATTATGTGATTCTCATTTTGTGTGTCTCATTTTTCCCTCAAGGGGTCCTGTAAATATGTCAGGTTTACAATATCCATTCTATGTCTTCACTGTGGAGCAATGTCCAAAAGACAGGGCGTCATGGAATGCGTCATCAACGGTACGAGGCTGTCCTGTTGACGTCAACGGTAGGAGTACGTATCACTGTGTCCCTAACCAACAGCTGACAACACTGATAGAGTTCTGCTACAATAGACAGACCGGACTGTATGAAAGTGGTATGTTTTCTTATAAAAACTCAAAGTACTTAGAATACACATAGTCGGACTCAGTTATTGAGCAATGACTGTTGTACCGTTTTGCATTAAATCTGCTATAGCAGTATTTAGCGATATCTAAATAAATGAGTTGTAAACACATATAAAGCTTATTATTCATATAATCTGTATTAAGGGGGGACCTATGTCGTTCTACGTCATAACAGCGTTATTTCACGTCACAATAGCGACGTTTCTTTTATACCTGTTGACTTTCGCTAAGTTCTGTGATTTAGACCTAACATTGTAAATAGTCAGTAACATACACAAGTTTCAAAAAGAAAATTTATTCAATAATTGTAAATAATTATTAATGATAATGATAATGAGTTTGTTAATATTAGAATGAATTCTCTTCCGTTGGTTGATAGTTCAAAGCAATTTCAGTGTTGAAAAGATACGTCAATAATATGCTAATTGATATAAGTGCAAAAAGGAAAGATAAAATTCAGCAGAGAAAGCAGCTTAAATCAGGAAAAATATGTTTACAAGTTCTTTAAGCATTACATTAATTGTTTTTCCTAAATGAAAATTAAAATAAGATTTTTTTTAAAAAATGTACTTGTACCTATATTGCTTTAATATTGATCAGTAGATTTAATTGTACGTTAAGTATTGGTTGTTGAAAGGGAAAAGGGGGAGGGGGCATGTACAGAGATTATATTAGTGTAAATTGTTACTAATCAAAGTAGAATACTTGTTTTCCGCAGAATAGTTTAGTACTAGTATTCAGATGTTCGTCAGTGCTTACGTACCTCTGTGTAAGTGCAGAAAGGTCAATATTTATGACAAAAGAGTATAAGAATTAAAGAAAACTTCATATTTTTTGTTTATTTTATCACAAAGGTATACTTTTTTCTTTACTAAAATAAAAAGTTTATTTATTTCTTCAAAACTTATCAATAACAATATTTTCACACAAAGACTTTTTTAAGATATTGCCTAATATGCATGAGAGAATTGTTAAAAATACGGCAGAAAAATGAGATGATACTTACATTGTGCTCCATTATAATCTTTCATGCAATATGAACTGCAATGAATTTGCCTTCATTTTAAAGATACAAATTATCTTTTTTAAATACATGTTAATTTTGAATGTGATTTGACATTTTGGTTCTTTTAGCCCATTATTCTGTAGAAAAAATGTCTGTAAATAATCTATTTTTAGCATTTCACACTGTTTTTGCATGTGCTTATGTGTAAAAATAAGCATATGAAAGTATTAATTTTAATGCCTTAAAATTTAAAGCAAGTGGCCAGGAGAGAAATGTCAGTTTACAAAATTTCACACAAAGACTTTTCGGGCATAGGCCCCCCCTTAAATCTCAGTGCCATGATACTGTATTTTATCAATTTAGTTATACTCGGAACATTCTCCACTAGATTATTAAATACAGCCTGTCTAGTTGTTTCTTTGTCTGTCCTTCTGTCCGTCTGTAATCATTTAACATTTTCGACTTTTTCACCAAAACCATTGTCCAATTTCGACCAAACTTAGCACAAGACATCCTTTAGTAAAGAGGATTCAAAGACAAGGTATGGTAACAGCCGAATCTGACCTCTTGTCTGATATAAAAATTAAAACACTATCAAAATTAAAGTTTATAACTTGAAATGATATTTATTTTAAAACCAGTATAATTCTGATTCAAATAAAGTTTATAGAGAGGCCACAAGAGGGTGTAAAATGGGGACAATTTACCGAATGTCCTCATTTCTAGTGGAATTTCATTAAATCTGAGATACTTTTCACCTCGGAAAACATAGATCACAAGCTTGCCTATCTGAAATTTTTTATACACAAGATGCATTTGAAACTAGTGCAGGAAATTTGTAATTTGATAGATAAGCAATCTTGTGCTCTATGTTTTCTGAAGCAATATATGCCTTGAAATTGATGAAAATTGCATACAAATGAGAAATTTTGGAAATTGACATATATTTGACCTTCCTGTGACCTTAGTGTTTTTATATCATGAATGAAATACTTATTTTGTAACAATGATGACATGTTTTAATTAAAAAAACGTATTGTACATGTATAGCTCATAGAGACCTAAACACGGGTCCAAAAAGGGGTATAAACCTCTCTTGTCCTTTGTTCCAATGAAGGGCAACTCATTTTTTCAAGGGAAAATATCAATGAATAGTGACAGGGTTCTCAATTATTTAAATATAACTGTGGCACAAGAATTGTGCAAAGTACTAACATTGTATTTGAAGTGTGAAAAAACGGTTTCATGTTTCCAGAGACGCCTGGAAGATAATTGATTGTGCAAGCAAAAATGGGCCCTAATTAGCATGATTAGAGTAAATTAACAATTTAGCATTAGAAACTGAAAACGTTACACAATTTTAAGGTTATGAAGTTTATTGATTATTTAAAAATATATAATTTTTATCGTACTGACAAGGACAATCTTACTGCGGCACTAATATTTTAACTGGGGCGGAACTATGGCGCTGATTTTTAACTGTGGCGCTAAGGAATTTAACTGTGGCGGGGCCGCCACTTAAACGGCCCATGGAGAACCCTGAGTGATCTTTTAAAAATCTTATCAAAAACCGTTTGGCCAAAACAGTTTTAACATACGTGAATCCTTTATTACATAGTGTGAATTCAAATTTGTTCAAATCCTGATCCTCGAAGGTAGGGTAAGCCACAATGGGAAGGGGGTCAAATTTTAACGTAAATTACGAATATGTAGGACAATTTAAAAAAGATTTCCTTCAAAACAACATAGCCACAAATAGTAATCGATATGGAAACATCTTTAGGTAATGTATATTAAGGTTTCTTTAAAAAAATGATGCACAAGGGTTGAATAGGGCCCAGTAGAGGAACGATATTGTACATACAAATATACAGGAGAACAAAAATCCTTTTTCTCAAGAACAACAAAGCCATGATTAGACATATTGATTTAGGTGATATAGAATCGTGTTTGCTCAAATCATGACCCTGAGGCCTCAAATCAAATTGGTACCTGTAAATATTTGGGAAAAAATGTCAAACGCGCGATTAGTCAAATTGATATGGAAACATCCCAAGGTAGATTCAAGTTTGTTAAAATTAAAACAATCCTACCTTTTCCCTATCCCCCAGTTTCAATTCAATTTAGTTCAAAACATGACACATCTGCGTAGGTTTTGTCTAGAGCAGGCAATCAAACCTCTACTTATGAATGCATTAGAGACGAAATCAGCTTAAGAATAACAGCTAAGCCATATTGACTCAGGTGAACATTGTGGTCCACAGGGCTCTTATTTCAATTTTAATCTAAAATATCTTTTAGAAGTTGGGTTGCTTGACTTACCTTTACATGTTAGTGTGCATTTCCTATGCACATATGGCAGAAAATGCAATTTTCTTCATTTTTAAATAGAAGTTATCTGCTTTGTGTGTCTCGGGTGCCTTTTCTGTACAACTGGAAGCAATGGTTTTGAAAGAGTACGTTCACTCTAAACACGTACTAGTATTTCTTAAAAACGTTTTTCACGTAAAAAAAATGTTCAAAATAAAAAAAAAAAAAACCAGTGCTGTCGAGCGTCATCAACATGACTTATCCGAAAACAAAACTTGAACCAGTTTGAAAAGCGTTATGTAAACATTGGCGGGTCTTGGGTTACCATCCGGTAACAATATTATTGCGTGAAAATCAGCAATATAGAAAAAAAAATTAAATTGATCATGTATAATATATAACACTTTAAAAGTTAGGAATCTGTATAACGAGTCATCACTTCAAATACGTACATCTGGTGATATAATATGCATGAAACAGCTTCATATCAATTAACGAATTTAGAAAATATTTTTGCATAGTACGTCCCTTTCTTTTTTAAGGGACCTGTTTATACCTCACTAATTCTGGCTATCTAAACCAAGTAAGGTGCGCAGACTTCACCCACGGTTGTCCCGAAAAACCATATTTCAGCAACGAAATATACAAATGTATGTATAATCTTCTAGATGCCAAATTAACAATTTGGTTTTGAATGTAATAATTTTAAGTGATATGTATTAATAATTAATGTAAAACAGAATGCATATTTTTGATTTCCTAAGGATTGATTGTTTACACTGAACATAAAAAATATTACAATATCCATCTTTTTTGTTTTTGTTTTACTAGATCAGGAATGTTTAGCTATTAACAAACAATTCCATTGCTACGAAGCAGCGGAGTCGTGTCGGAATACAAAAAAGTAAATCACTCTCTCTCTCTCTCTCTCTCTCTCTCTCTCTCTCTCTCTCTTCAAATTAATTTGCATTTATGTTCATTCTTTACAGTAGCAAAGATGTGTCATCCTCAACACCAACGACATCTTTATCTTACATACCGATCTTACTTGGTGTCATGGTACCAATCATTTTGATTGTAATTCTGTTATGTTCCTTATTTATAAAATTTCAACGCGAGAGGAATTCAAGCAACAAGGACACCATGGATCCAGAACAGGAGCATCTTCTCCGTAAGTAATTCTGTTAATTGAAGCCGTAAAGATACATATACCAAAAGTGGTAATTTTGAATCATCTTAATTTCATGCATATCTGCAAAAATCCTTCTCTTATTAGGAAACATATACGTTACTTATTTCGTTATTTGCATACCTATTCACACTGTAAAAGAATGTTTACTCCGTTACACTACTGAGAAAATCATATCTTATCAAAGTTGTACTGAATTGATTTTTTAAAAATTGTTTTCATTGTAATTACGTTATAATTTTATGATTTATGCATACAAACACATGAACATGACATTAATTGAAATTATATCATTCAAAGAGAGTGGTATTAATTTTTGCTACAATATAAATATTCATGTTTTTAGTAGAGAGTTTTTAAATAATGTATCTGGTGTATGTACATTTTCCAGTAAAAATATAAATAAAAAGTACTTGACTAAATTTCAAGATATTACATTTTAATGTATTTGTATATTAGGCAATTTAGAAAAAAAAAACATTTCAGAGCAAAGCTAATTGAATATTCATGATACGTTTGTATCAAAAAATAAATTTAATTATAATGTATTTATGAAAAATATCTCGACAAAAGAATTTTAACTCTCTTTTATATCTGCTTTTTATGAAATGTAGAGAAAGGCAATCCAGGTGAAGAATTTATAGAAACTCGAGCCTATCAGAAAGCAAGAGAAGTTTTGTTAAAAAAGAAGTATGTTTTTATAAAAGGAAACCCAGGAGATGGTAAAACGACAATAGCAAAACACCTCTTGAAAGAATTGAAAACATCTCATAACAAACGTGAGAAGGTCGTCATGGGTCTAAAGGAATTGTGTGGAAAACATGACCAAACGAAAGACATTGCTTTTTTTGTAGATAATATCTTCGGAGAATATAATTTCAGGAGGTCAGAAATAGAACAGTGGGAAACAACAACAATTTTTATGGAAAGTGTTCTCTCTGATGAAATTGACCAGAAGGGAAACTTTTTAATTGCAACAATCCGCAATGATATGTATTCGGAAATTCTAACTAAACTGCAATTCAAAATGGAATTCATTGAAAATGCTTTGGTTGATATCTCGAATTCGGAGAACAAGTTGACAAAAGAAGAAATGAAACAGATGTATGATCTTTATGTCCGAATTCCATTTCGTGCAGATGAATTATACTCAGCGTTCAGTTGTGCACCACCCTTAGGCTTTCCACAATCTTGTAAGCTGTTTGGCAATAACACAACATTACAAAGTAGAGGACCGAATTTCTTTAAAAATCCGTCCGAGTGTTTAAGTCAGTATGTCGAAAATATGTATTGGCACTCCAAGCCCCAGTTTTCCGTTCTTGTTTATATTCTAATGACAAATGACAACAAAGTTTCAATGTCTTCATTACGTAACCTTAACATCGATATCGAGGGGAAAAGAAAAGCAATGACTGTCCATCCTAAAAATAAAAAATCTCCAATACCTACTGAGTTCATCGAATGCATCGACGGGTTAATGGGTTCTTTTTTAATTGATGAGAGTGGGTTCTGTACGTTTTCACATAGCTGTATTCAAAACGTTATTCAAAATACAATTATCAAATTTCATACTATTTTCGTTATCAAACATTGCCAAATATCATTATTGAATAATCTCCAAGTAGAAGGAAAGGGGGAGATGGCGGAAAACATACAAACAATAGAAAAAGATTACTTTGCAGATATTTTCAAAAGAATAGTTGAAAATCTCAATTTTAGAAGCAGTGAACTATTCAAAATCATATCTGGATTACATTTATGGAAAAACGACGCATTCTGCTCTGCGTTTAAAGATTATGTGCATCAGAAGGAAAATATTCTATCTGAGTTAGATGAGAATGATGCATCATTGCTGATTTATTTTGCAAAAGCTGGGCAAAATGAAATGGTTAAATTCCTGTTGACAATCATTAAAACTAACAAACAAAGGTATGAAGCATTAAATCAAGCAACGTTGATGAATCATAGCAAAGTTGTTCAAATCCTTTTAGATGAAGGAGTCACTCCTGACGTTAAAAGCTGTTTCTGTGCGATACAGAATGGGGACTTAGACATGGTCAAGCAATTTATTTCTAAAGGTCTGAATATAATGGAATTTTCTAAATCTCTCCATCCAAGTTTTCAACGTTCTGTTTCTATATTAGCTGAGTCCTGTTTATGGGAGAGATTGGAAATAATTTCTTTTTTGGAAAATTATCCAGACTTATTCAATGTGAAATATGACTTTGGAGAGCATACCATTCATTTTATAGCTTACGCCGGAGCGATAGATGCCCTTAAAGCACTTATAACCAAGCATAAATGCGATCCATCCTTAAAAACTAATAGAGGAGAAACGATTCTACATAATGCATGCCAGAACGGAAAACTTGAAACTGTGAAATACATCATAAGTGAATATCCTAAACTTTTATCTGAAGAAAATGATTTATTTGATGGTGGATCTATTTTACATATGGTTGCTGCGGGAGGCAGCATCGAATTATTCAAGCTTTTAAAAAATCAAAAGCTCATTACTGAACATGAAACAGGTAGAACTGTTTTACACAGTGCATGTCAACATGGCAGATTTGAGATGAGTAAGTTTCTTCTTGACAGGTTTCCTTATTTGCTGACCAAAATAAATTTTTTTGGTGAATCTGCCTTACATGATTCCGTTAGAGGTGGTAATGTAGAATTAATGAATTTCCTTTTAAAAAAAGGCTTAGATATAAACGACAGAAATAATTACGGAAAATCTATGCTGCACCTGTGTTGTATTGAGGGTAAGATAGATATATGCAAATACTTGGTCAACACATATCCTTTCTTACTCGAAGTCACTGACAATAATGGTCACAATGTCTTACATGATGCAGTCTGGGGTGGTAACATTGATCTTGCTAAGTTTCTTTTAGAGAAAGGCTTAGATATCAATAGCACGAGAAGTGACGGGAAAACTGTGCTACATCAGTGTTGTATGAATGGGCAGACAGACATGTGCAAATACTTGGTCAACACATATCCTTTCTTACTCGAAGTCACTGACAATAATGGTCACAATGTCTTACATGATGCAGTCTGGGGTGGTAACATTGATCTTGCTAAGTTTCTTTTAGAGAAAGGCTTAGATATCAAAAGCACGAGAAGTGACGGGAATACAGTGCTACATCTGTGTTGTATGAACGGGCAAATAGAAATGTGCAAATACTTGGTCAACACATATCCTTTCTTACTCGATGTAAGTGACGATAGCGGTGAGAATGTCTTACATGATGCAGCTTTTGGTGGTAATATTGAAATGCTTAAATTCCTCCTAGATAAAGGCTTAGATATCAAAAGCACGAGAAGTGACGGGAAAACAGTTCTACATCTGTGTTGTTTGAACGATAAGATAGACATGTGCAAATTCCTGGTCAACACATATCCTTTCTTACTCGATGTAATTGACGATAGTGGTGAAAATGTCTTACATGATTCAGCTTTTGGTGTTAATATTGAAATGCTTAAGTTCCTCCTAGATAAAGGCTTAGATATCAAAAGCACGAGAAGTGACGGGAAAACAGTTCTACATCTGTGTTGTTTGAGCGATAAGATAGACATGTGCAAATACTTGGTCAACACATATCCTTTCTTACTCGAAGTCACTGACAATAATGGTCACAATGTCTTACATGATGCAGTCTGGGGTGGTAACATTGATCTTGCTAAGTTTCTTTTAGAGAAAGGCTTAGATATCAATAGCACGAGAAGTGACGGGAAAACTGTGCTACATCTGTGTTGTATGAATGGGCAGACAGACATGTGCAAATACTTGGTCAATACATATCCTTTCTTACTCGAAGTCACTGACAATAATGGTCACGATGTCTTACATGATGCAGTCTGGGGTGGTAACATTGATCTTGCTAAGTTTCTTTTAGAGAAAGGCTTAGATATCAAAAGCACGAGAAGTGACGGGAATACAGTGCTACATCAGTGTTGTATGAACGGGCAAATAGAAATGTGCAAATACTTGGTCAACACATATCCTTTCTTACTCGATGTAAGTGACGATAGTGGTGAGAATGTCTTACATGATGCAGCTTTTGGTGGTAATATTGAAATGCTTAAGTTCCTCCTAGATAAAGGCTTAGATATCAATAGCACGAGAAGTGACGGGAAAACAGTTCTTCATCTGTGTTGTTTGAACGATAAGATAGACATGTGCAAATACTTGGTCAACACATATCCTTTCTTACTCGAAGTCACTGACAATAATGGTCACAATGTCTTACATGATGCAGTCTGGGGTGGTAACATTGATCTTGCTAAGTTTCTTTTAGAGAAAGGCTTAGATATCAATAGCACGAGAAGTGACGGGAAAACAGTTCTACATCTGTGTTGTTTGAACGATAAGATAGACATGTGCAAATTCCTGGTCAACACATATCCTTTCTTACTCGATGTAATTGACGATAGTGGTGAAAATGTCTTACATGATTCAGCTTTTGGTGGTAATATTGAAATGCTTAAGTTCCTCCTAGATAAATGCTTAGATATCAATAGCACGAGAAGTGACGGGAAAACAGTTCTACATCTGTGTTGTTTGAACGATAAGATAGACATGTGCAAATACTTGGTCAACACATATCCTTTCTTACTCGATTTCACTGACAATGATGGTAATAATGCTTTACATGAAGCAGTCTGCGGTGGTAACATTGATCTTGCTAAGTTTCTTTTAGAGAAGGGCTTAGATATCAAAAGCTCTATACATAGCGGAAAATCTGTGCTACATCTGAGTTGTTTGAACAGTAAGATGGATATGTGTAAATACATAGTCAACACATATCCTTTCTTACTCGATGTCATTGACGATAATGGTGAAAATGTCTTACATGATGCAGCTTGGGATGGTAATATTGAAATACTTAAGTTCCTCCTAGATAGAGGCTTAGATATCAAAAGCACGAGAAGTGACGGGAAAACAGTGTTACATCTGTGTTGTTTGAACGATAAGATAGACATGTGCGAATTCCTGGTCAACACATATCCTGACTTACTCGATGTCACTGACAATGATGGTGAAAATGCCTTACATGATGCAGTCTGGGGTGGTAACATTGATCTTGCTAAGTTTCTCTTAGAGGAAGGCTTAGATATCAAAAGCACGAGAAGTGACGGGAAAACAGTGTTACATCAGTGTTGTATGAATGGGCAGACAGACATGTGCAAATACTTGGTCAACACATGTCCTTTCTTACTCGATGTCACTGACAATGATGGTGAGAATGCCTTACATGATGCAGCCTGTAGTGGTAATGTTGATCTGGTTATATTTCTCATAGAGAAAGGCTTAGATATCAAAAGCACGAGTAGTGACGGGAAAACAGTGCTAAATCTGTGTTGTTTGGACGATAAGATGGACATGTGCAAATACTTGGTCAACAAATATCCTGATTTACTCGATGTCACTGACAATGATGGTCAGAATGCTTTACATGAAGCAGCCTGGAGTGGTAATGTTGAAATACTAAAGTTCCTCGTAGATAAAGGCTTAGATATCTATAGCGCTAGAGATGACGGAAAGACTGTATTGCATATGTGTTGTATGAATAGGGAAAAAGAAATGTATAAGTATTTATTCGACAAGTATCCAGACTTAGTGGATATCGAAGACAAATATGGCAACAAAGCAGTTTTTTATGGAATATAAAGGTAAAAGTAGCCTATTCAATCAATGAAAGACATTTAACCGCGTTTTAGGAAAGGAAAAAGTATACCAAAAAGTCTCTCAGAGCCTTTGTGGTTGTTAAATAAATAGATATGAATGAATACCAAGTATTTTTAAAGCAAAGTAGTTTATGCAAGAATAATGAAAATCGGTTTGTGTTTTCTGCCCGCTCATACGTATAATATTAATGTAGTAAAGTTTAAGTTGAAGACGTAGATATCTGGAAGTGGAGTAAGATATAAATATTTGTTATAAATGTATCGGATATTCCACATTTTTAAATTTACATAAAATTAGTTTGAAGTCACTTAATGATATTGATGTATTTATTGTAATATTATATCATGATGTAGTTTGGAAACTACTGATCGTGATCGTGAATGGCAATAATTTACAGATTTTTTTATTCAAATCAATTAAAAAAGTTCCATGTTGTAAATAATGCTTTCGCAAATTTACATGATAATTTTCAAGAGAATATAAAATGAATGAATATTCATAATCATATTATTGCCACAATTTTGAGAGCCAATACCTCTTAAACATTTTATTACAAGTTCAGACACTCGCGATATTTTTTTCTCGATATATAAAAAAGATTATAACATAAGTAAAACAGAATCAATTCACACGTATTCATAAAATTTATTTATATATATAATTTTTAATTATTTGTAACTGTTTACATTTTCTTTCGTATATACCAATTATACTTAAATTAGTGTTAATCAAATAAATGAAGCCAATATTCTATAGTTACAAATTTAAGATTAGCTGATCAAATAATATAAACATTGTTAACCTTGCGGTATATTCAATTCCTTTAAGAAACATATGAAAGGTTTCATACACTTAAAACTTTGTCAAATGTCCATTTCTATGGAACGTCTTGATTGAGGCACAACAATATAAATAACCAAAATAAATAAATATTAGTATCTAAATTCTTCATTTAAAAAAGTTCAACGAGCAAAATTTAAATGTGTACTATCCAATTTATTTAATTTGCTTTTACACAGTTTAAATCAGAATCATATTTCATGTTGAATGTTTCTAAAATATCTCAGCGTCAGAATATCCTGAATAATTGTTGGCTTTGTTAATACATTCTTAACATTAATGAAAACTGTCTGTAAATTTTGTTTGTTGTTAACAATGGAATAATGCATGTCTTTACATGGGAATTTATATGCTTGTTTTTCCATGTTATATACATGTATGCAAAAATTAAGGTTGTCTTTTAAAGCCTAATTGATTGCAAAAAAATGGTTTCCAATTTTACAAAAATGGCGTTGATCTTGTATATAAAAACCGTTCTCATTCCTTAAAAGCAAATTAAGTGCCAATTGTATCTTTAAAATACAACTCAGATATGTAAACATGTATGTATTGCATTATAGGAGTAATTGTATTCTTAATAAAATGAATCTGTATGATTGTTTTGGTTGCTTCATTTGCCTTTAAGTTTGTTTTACGCTAAGCCACAATACAGACCAAAGGTATGAAATTGAAAGTTTAGAGTGAAGTTGGAGAACATCAAGAACTGAAGTTTAAGGTATGATCAACCATAGTTCAAACAATCAACCATTACCTGATCTGTGAAAACAAAAGTTTGTTTTAAGCGTGCATTTCCCATATTTCCTAAGAATTAAGGGTCCTCCACACCATGTGACTTGTGACGTATATAGAGAAAAAATACTTTTACTTCCGGTTCGATCGAGTTTCTGTAAGAACGATTTAACTTAACACCGTTTGTAAACAATGAACACATGGCATGATCACGGAGTGACTGATGGAAAAGGATGTGCGGTTTTTTGTTAAAAAAAAGAACAACAGACGTCTTGGATTATGTTACATAATAATTCGTAAACAACAGGTACCGGTGGTTATGACGAAAAACGTATAGATTATTTATCCTTTCAGGCTAATCAACCGAGTCTGTTTTGATAGTTGAAATTTCGGCACACTAATTTGTGCGTTTCAATAATACATTATCTCATTGTTGTTTATAAATATTAATAAAATAGTGTGTGTTTCTAGTTTTCCTCTGTTATATTTGTCCAGTTCAGTGGCCAGTAATTACTAAATATAGTATGGTGATGTATGCGGAGACTTGCCAAAGTTTTTGAGTCCCGGGCAACAGCAAAGATAACTCCAAAAAGGAACTTTGATACCAAAGATTTTGAAAATATTTTTTCTACATCAGTGCATTTAATTTTAATTCAATTTTTTGATATAATCTAATTTATTAATGTTTCTTCTCCACAAAAGGAGTCCTTATTGATTTTTCTCGAAATGTATTTCAGAGAAAATACGTTTTATGTACTTTTTATAAATATAATAAATTTCTGTAAAAAATATGTCGATAGATAAAAATGAATTTTTATGGTTATTCCATGAGCTTAAAAATATACGAAAGGATAAGACAAAGTTTGTTGTGCTAGGTATGAAAATGATCTGGGAAAAATTTCTTATAACTTGTGAAATAATAATTTAAAAAATCAGTATAAATTACATTTTAATCCCTGGACAGTTTTTAAAGGTTGATATGCTTGTTAAAAGTAATGCTCAATAATATGAGAACATAACCTGTGGGTGTGTGGAGGACCCTTAAGTCTTGAGTACAAACTCTCTAAACATGGTTGATGAAGAGAAATTCTGCTATATTTTGGTTTTAAAATTTTCTTTTGTTGTCTCATAAATACTGTACATTTCTTGTCACGAAAATTTAAATACTTGTTGCTTTCTGTGACAATCATTAATAATATGTCATATATCTAGCCTTTCAGAAGGGAAAATGTAGTTCAAGACTTTATATGCTGAATTTTTCCATTTTTTTTAAAACATATAGCGACAGCAAATGAAAATTTATCAAGTCTCAACAAATAAAGAAAACAAATAAAGATAACTGATTGATGGTGATTTAATGACACATAAATTGTTAATCATCCTTGTACAGAAATTTTCAATTGTATCTGCCTTTTCCTTCTATTCGCTATGGTTTGGAGTCCAATCTAATTTTAAAACTTTTGAAAATGAAAACACCTCTCATAAACCTTCAAAAGTTATTGTCAATCTTTTTTTTTATAAAATAGGTCAAACTCTAAGGTAAAAGGGTCAAAGATCTTGGTATACAATGAAAGATCTTCTCACAAGAATTATATGTTTGAAGGTTGAAAGCCCTAGCTCTAACTATTTAGAGTTATGGCTAAGGTTAAAGTTTCTTTTAACGCAGGGGAAATAAGGAAGCATACAACATATTCTACCTTGACTAAATCAGTTCTACATTATGACGTCATAGTAGGCGAGATGACGTCAATTCTAGAACACAAGTTTTTGTAAAAGTTGTATTTAGAGATGGAAATTAATTCAAGAAAATAAATAGGAACATGTAAACATTAACATAAATGAAATGTTTTTATTTTGTTATGCTTAAATCTGTTAATTTGATTGAAATCTACCATCGATGACGTCAGATATGTACATCAAGTTACTTTGGAAGTGATCTTGTGGTCTAATGAGAATTTGGCAGAGACGGCATGTACAAAGATACGTAAAAAGGAATTTAGAAACAGAAATCGTAAATATTTTATGAAATTCATATGGAATTTAATTAATAAAACAGGTATGCTAAATTATTTTTATCTATTTTATTCTTTTTCGACGTTGGTCAGCTATATACGTATCCCGGTCGGCCTTTCTTCCGTCATTTGTAACAAAAATAATGCAACAGAACAAAAATAAGCTGTCTATTTCATGACATAAAATTTGTGCAGGTGAAAAGTTTGCTTCCTAAATACTTGGAAAGTGCTGCTAGAATCCCGTGTTGAGCATGGTTTTACGTAAAATTTCGGTTCATAGGTAAAACAATTGCAAAACTTCAGGTAAGGTTTCGTGCGAATGTGTGGATTAATTTTTTTACCGGCGGGACAGTGCACGTGGGATTCTACTTTTTAGGCAAAATAGATGTTTTTCAACTGCATTATTTACTCTAAGAAATTATTAAACTCCGGGGCATTGTTGTTCTGTTAGCTTTTGTATTAAGGAAAATTTCGCTATTAATAGAAGTCACGTGATGCCGTGGTGGTGGTGCATGTCGTTGCGTTAGACACTCATTTATCTGTATGCAAGAAATGTTAATAGATTACGTTTATCAGCGGTGTTGGTAAATTATCAACTTAATTTTCTTTTAAAAGTCTAAATTTCCCGAAAAATGACTTATATGCTTCCTTAACGTGTCTGCGAAGTACATTAATCTCCAAAGTCTAGGTCAAAAGGTTAAACCTATTGCTATTTAAGATCAGACGACATCATCCTCAAAAATATATAATTTTTCCAACGAATTTGTCATTGAAGTCTAGGTTTCCTTACATGTGAATACATGAATGACCCATATAGTTAATCAACTGAATTGCCTATATCACAATTTTTGGTACACTTATATTAAAAAACCTATTAAAAACAATGAAGACATCACAAGAGAATAGTAATGTGCAAACTATTTATATAATATACCAAGGACTACAGAAGATATATGTGAGGAACGAGTCCTTAATAAAAGGTCCTGTCAGAAAGAATACACATATAAAGCAAGATAGCCCCAGCGTCTACCGTTCAAAATTTATGGCTAAAGTATAAGTTTGATATTTTTGTGTTTAAGTGTGTCAAACTTTAAGGTCAGAAGGTCACAGTTGCAGTGTACTTTGTAAGCACGTTTCCTCATTTAATAGAAGCTAGATACAAAAGCAGTGAAAATGCTTTACATGCTGCAGCATGGGGTGGAACCATTGATCTGTTAAAATTGCTCCTGGCTAATGGCTTAGATATAAATTCTACAGCATATGATGGGAAAATTGTGCTTCATAACTGTTGCTTCAATGGTAACATAAACATTTGTAACTATTTATTCAACAAATATCCTTACTTATTATATGCCATTAACAATAATGGTGAGGATGTTATATAAGCTGAAGCTTGCAATGGTAACATTGATCTTCGAAAGTTCCTCGTAGAAAAAGGTCGAGGCATCAATAGCAAACGAAATGACAGTTAAACTATGCTACATCAATACTGTAGGAATGTTAAGATAGATATGTGTGTATACTTGGTCAAAACATATCAACACATACAAGAGATCAGGGATGATTAGGGTTAGAATGCTTTACATGAAGCAGCTGGTTGTGGAAACATTGATGTGCTAAAGTTCCTCAGAAAGAGAGTTAGATTTGAATAGTATGAATGATAAAGAACAGACATTTTTGCGTTAATGTTGTCTGTCGGGAAAATTACAAATTTGCAAGTACTTGGTCAGTACTTGAATGGAAAGATTTACATGTATCGGTACCAGATCAACACTTTTCCTCATTTACTTCGTATGACTGACAATGATGGTCAGAATGTCCTTGATGCAGCGAAAGTGGGAGGAAACAATGAATTGCTTAATTTCTTAATAAAGACAGGCTTAAATATTAATAGCTCATGT